ACTAAGAACTGCAGTAAAATTGTTTAGGGGTTCAGTATGTCTTTTGTTTGCAAACCAACTTGTGACTTGGATCATTTACTCGTCGTCTACAGTTCTCTATGCATCTAGTTCAGGAAATCAGAATGAGAGATAGAGCATATAAGTAGCCATGTGAGATTGGAGCCTGCTCGTTTCTTTCTTGTGCGATAGATCCCTCTTCCATGACGTGTAGTGACTCACCTGTACTGTCACACTAGAAAGTGTCCAAGTGTAACCACCTAATTCGTAGTATAGCGGGTTTAGATTTACTTGTCAACCCGGGTCCTAGGTGTGATGACTACTCTGTGAAGTTCTTATTATTTAGTGGTTCAACTGTAGTGAAGTTTTAACTAAACTAACAAACACAAGCAGTAAAAGTTGAGGTTCAAGTTTAAGAGAGGTCACCCAGATATGGTTCCCCCTAGACTACAGTTAGGCCAAGTTATAATTCACCAAGTCCAGATTCAATGATAATTATACTGCGGAAGGTTCTTATTCAGTCTGAAGTCTCGACTAAAGGTCTCCAGACCCTCTCAATATGAATACCCGGCGAGCGACTAACCTCCATTGGAGTAAACAAACTGAGGCCCTAATGTGCAAAACCTCCTCTAGTGGAGTAAATCCAGTACAGAATAGTGAATTGACTCTTTGACTAAATTCGTCAATTCACCACCTTCAATTAAGGGTGCTCTATCAACCTAGGCAGATATTCTGATATGACCAAATCCGAAGAGAACCCTCAAACTCGGATGATATGAACAAAGTACGCATCCTTCCTTCTTTTTTAAGGATTTTCGAAGCTTTTCTCCAACTTGATATAAAAGATAGATGTGGAATCAATCGGACAATCCCAACTCGTGACAAAGGGCAATTGGTATATTAAACCAATCGTGCAGAATCAACTCGTGGAAAGGGGCAATTGATATAGGGTAGATGCTCGCCACAACTAGACGCATTCTCTAGTTGATAAGAGACACGTACAATCTCCTGGAATCCTAGACAAAAGTCTTGCACAAACATTCACAAAGGAACACAAGTAAAAACTCTTTAATTGATAACTTGAATGTTGGGTACAAAATTCGTAGGTCTTACACCCTCTATTTATAGAGGCCATAAAAACATAAATCTAACCTAAAAGGAATAGGAAAACAAATCTCAAACTAACTAGGAAACATAATACTACTTAAATAAAGACTATAACTCATTTTTATAACCAAAGAAAGCTCCTTAGCAACTAAGTAATCTCCAAACACGTTTTTAATGCTTAAGGAAGCTCCTTAGTGGTTAAGCAATCTCTTTCCTTGTCCTTTTCATACTTGGACGCCTTGGGCAGCAAGGATGGACGTTTTGGGATCCCGGAAATCTTGTACGCCCGATCCTTAATGCATTCTCCATTTTATCCATCAAGAATGCTCCTAGTTGATCCTTAAATTGTCGAATATGAATCTTTATTTTTGGACCACGGGAATTAAATATCGCGCTAGTCGATATCACATCATATTCTCTTTCTAGGTCAAAGTAGGAACTACAGGAATTTGATAAGGATTCATGCAATTCAGAAAACCATGCATCAATTGAATGTAATCGATGTCACAGAACATGTACTTGGGTTCATACAACCAAACCTAACATACAAATCTAGGGTTCTTCATACCCAGGTGAGTGAGAGATTTTACTCCATAGAGAGAGAAGAGAAATCAGCTTCAGATGTGGAAATCATTCTATGAAGGATGAAAATCGGCTTCTGGTAATCAATCAGCACTTCTCCAAGCTTCAATCAAGCTCCAATAGTGTTGAATCTTGATCTAGGGCACTTGGAGGTTCTGTTTTTCACTTTCTCTCTCTAGGTTTCTGCTTTCTTTCTATAAAACTCGCATCCCTCTCAAAAGAGGCCAACTTCGTTTAAGAAAGGAGTAGATTATGATACCCGGCCCAAATACCTGGTCGGGTATTACTGGGGGCCGGCCGGGTATTATCAAAACGCATCGCTCTGGCAGGGGGGAAATACCTGATTGAGGGTCATAATACCTGATCGGGTTTCTAAGCTTCGCGGCCGGGACCCCTTATACTTCTTTGGCCTCCAAAACAGATTTACCCGGTCCTTCCTTCTCGTTTACCCGGTCGGGTATTTCAGTGCCTGACCGGGTATTTTTGCCTTCCAACTCCCCTCTCTCCAATTCTCCACTTTTTGACCCAAATATCGCTTCCACGCCTCCATGTCCATGCAAAATCCTAAAATATGACACAAATGAACAACCTAGCGTGAAATCGGCTTAAAACAGAAGAATCAAATCTCAAACGGTTCAAGAATGGTGGTCAAAACATGTACAAATAATGGTCTATCATGTAGCATTCACGTTGTCACTAGTTAGAATGATGGAGGCATAGGATTAGCCCACGACCAAATTGACTGTCCTAGTGTCATACCCATAGTCAGCCCCTTTGAGCCGTGTAACTTTCTTCCTTCGTGTGTACAATGGATAACCACACTTTTTGCATCTCTTTGAGGTTCCACAGAGTGGTTTTTGCATGTTCTCTGCTGTTTCTACTAGAAATAATATGAGGGTTGGAGTTAGTTCTTAAAAGTTAGGCATGTGATTGAAAAAAATGTGTAAAAGTGGTGGTTCTCTCAAAGAATGAAAAAAATGATAAATGAAAACAAAAGAGAGCCACCACAGAAATCTTAATCATGCCCATTAGATAGTGTTTCTTAGCAACTTGGCTTAGAAATACTAACGTGTTGTGACCTCATTCACTCTTTTGCTCTAAATAACTTGATCGATGTAGAATGGGAGAAAGAAAGTAAATGATTTGAATGATTGTAACTGTGTTGGCTTTGGAACTGTGGAGCCTTGTGCTATGAATTCTTCCACCGCCTAAAAAGCCTTTTCCCCATGTCCAAGACGCTAGCCAGTCATCTGAACCCATGTCTAAGACCTCCTGACTAGCTAGTGATGACATATGATTTGTGAACTCTATCATTTAGAGGTTGCTGTCATGGTGAAGAGACGTTAGGATTGAGAGAATAAGAATGCGCATCTTTCGCATCAAATGGTCCTGACCCCACTAGTCGAGAGTGAGCAATTCATTCCTTAAATTTTATACCCTGGCGAGGACCTTGACTGCTAAGTCTTTTATTCTGGTGGCTTGAACTCTATGCATGGTTAACTGTGGTGTGCGAGTATACGAGACTTGTCGCATTTTGGTTACTGAACTATAGTTAGACTCTTCCTTTGCATAATTTTGTTGCGGTCGGTTGTCATCTGAATGGTCATTGCGGTTGTTGTTGCTGTTGTTCGCGTGTTGGTGCTAATTGTCTATTGAGATCGAGGTATTTGTGCCATATGTCATGTCCCCAAAAGCGTTTTTACTAGAAACTCTTTTTAAGCTTGCCTTGTATCTGACTTGGTTTGCTTGGGGACAAGCAAACGATTAAGTGTGGGGAATTTGATAGCACCATATTTGCACATGTTTGCACCCTTATTTCTTAACTGTTTTGGCTCAATTTTGTGGTGTCTTGGCCTATTTTACGCTAGGTTGTTCTTGTTTGTGATATTTCAGGTCCTAGTACGTGAATGAAGGCTTGGGCACAAGTTCGGGGTCGATTGGACGAAGTTGGAACGTTTGACAGAAAGCTGAGGATTTTACGCGGCCAAGTCAAGTTTCCACATGGCCGTGCAGTTCTGGTCGTGCGCGGGAAAGAGCCGATTCTACGCGGATGTGTTGTGTGGCCGTGTATCTGATTTTTATGCAGCCAGGGCCGTACGAGATGTCCAGGGGGTCCACACGGGCAAGGCTTAATTCTACAAAGTCGTGTGATTTCTTTCGACCAACTAAGTGCAACGCCGCGTTTTGGGAGTTACACGGGCATGCTAGATTCTACATGGCCGTGTGGCCTGGCCGTTTAATCGGGCAGAGTTGGGTTTTAACCCAATTTCGGGTCTTTGAGAGAAGAATCAAATTTTGAGAGCAAAAACAGAGTCCTAGAGAGAGAAAGTGAGAAGAACAAACCATAGGATCAATTCTGGAGCTGGGTTTCATCAATAAAGCTTGGATTTTGTCCTTGGAGTGAAGATTATCATCCCAGAGCTTATCATACACATCATTATGAGTATGATTCCTCTAATTGTTGTTTTCTAGTCTTTCTCTATGGAGTAGAACTTTCTCTCACTTGGGTATGAAGAATTCTAGTTCCATGTGTTAAGGATCATGATTGCAATGACTTTTGGATTGATATACTGGTTGATTATAATAGATTGAAGCGTGTTTGTTTAGTCAATTGAATCATGATCAACTTCTTTCGATTCCTGCTTTGTACTGGAATCTGTTTCCAGTAGTGGAGTTTTGTGTTAATTGCCTTAGCGTTTTATCCCTGTGAAGACTAGTTGTCTTCTGGGTAGTCTGTCTAAGAGGACTTGGTCAGCTTAAGAGATTCCAAGCTACTGTTGGATCTTTCGCAGTTTAATCAACAGTAAATCAACCAAAGGAAATTACAAATTGAACCTAACTAAGGATCTTGGGGGACTCAATCCTGAGTGACTTTTCTCTTGCTTAAGAACTTCGAACAACTCACTGCTTTTTTCAGTTTACTTTGATTTCACCTTCAAAAACTTAGTCCCGCTAGATAATAGAAGTTCACGGAGTAGATAGTCGATCTGGACCCCGGGTTGATAATTGAACTTACCACTATTCTGCATTTCCATTCTGCGATTACACTTGGTCGCAATATGGTGTTGTGTCGTAGTGTGTCACCCATCTATGTGATCCATGATAAATTTGCGTTCTGGTTTAAATTTTTGTATTCAATCCTCGACCAAATTCCTTGCATTTATTATTAGTTGAACCTTAACTCAAAGTTCATGAATGTTATAAAACATCTATCTTTTCTCCTGAAAAAAATAGATAAAGTTTCAACCTATGTCATACAACATTTAAGAATATCAACTGATCTTTTAGAGAGAGAAGAGAGAGACGGATTGTAATTGTAAATGGTTATTTTTGTAAGGAATTGTAGCGAAACAGATCCTTACCTCTCCTTAGATTTTTGCTAAAAAGAGCAGAAAAACAGACAAGTCTCTTCCAAAAAATCATATTTGCTAAAAAGAAGAAGAAAAAGAGCATTCCCCCTTTCCCAAATATTTCTTTCTTTCTTTCGCCTTGATTTCCCATTACTCGTGGGGTCTCAAGAGACCCTGCCCTCTATACCCCCACCATTTTCATCTGTGCCCATTCTCTCTCTACTTCTCTAATCTTCTTTCTCTCTCCTTCATTTCTTCCCCCTTGCTTTATTTTTTCTCTTCTTTGATGTGGTGGGTTGTTACAGAACCCTCCTTTGCCTTTAGCCAATGTAAACTTCAAAGTGGAAAATAATAAATTAAAAGAGAAAGAGAGAATATTAATTTTTTGTTTGTTTGTATTTGTGATTTCTTCTTGGAGACAATCTCAAACCTCTCTTAACATAATAATAATAATAATAATGATAATTACTGATAATTCCAAGTGATTCACAGGAATCCAAAAGATTGGTGTTTCTTTTGGTCATAATTAGAAGATGAATTGTTTCCCTTGTTTTCAATCGCAAAAGAGTAGAAAATCCGCAAGCAAAAGGGACATTGCCTCCCCTCCCTCGGAGCCTGTTGAGGCTGGTAAGGTCACCGCCTGATGTTGGTTCATTCATTTCTTTATTGGATTTTACTAAGAACCCAAAACGATTGCTCAAAAAATTATATTGTGTCATCCTTTTATTTCCTCCTATTGTTTGCATAGAGCCAAAGAAACAAAAACCAGGAGATGAGGGAGGAGGAGGAGGAGGAGGAGCAGGAGGACCATCCAATGGTGGTGTGGCTCAAACATTCACCTTTCGCGAGCTCGCCACCGCCACCAAGAACTTCCGACAGGAATGCCTCCTAGGAGAAGGTGGGTTCGGACGAGTCTATAAGGGCACACTTGCTTCCAATGGCCAGGTTTGAGAAAAAAAAGTAAATTTATTCTCTCAATCTTCCTATGCATGTTCCTATCATTGATATAAAATATCATGAATAAATATATGCTAGGTGGTGGCTGTGAAGCAGCTTGACAAGCATTCCCAAGGAAGCAAAGACTTTGTGACGGAGGTGAACGTCATTAGTGTCCTCAAGCATCAAAACCTAGTCCAGTTGATAGGGTATTGTGCCGATGGAGATCAAAGACTCTTGGTGTTTGAATATATACCTAATGGATCCCTCGAAACTCACCTCCTTGGTATGTACTATTAACCCTTTTCTCCCAACTCGATTTACTCAAATGAACCTCATTAATTTGAATCTCCTCTCTTTTTCTCAATGTTGTTAAGAGATGACACCAGAGAAGGAACCGATGGATTGGATAACAAGACTAAAGATAGCATACGGAACCGCGGAAGGTTTGGACTACTTGCACCTTCAAGCAAATCCTCCGGTCATTTATAGAGACTTGAAGCCTTCCAACATTTTGTTGGATGATGCTTTCAATCCCAAGCTCTCAGATTTTGTATCGGTAAGCTTTGGCCCTGAGGGAGACAGCAAGCTCCCAATTCAGTCCAGAGCAATGGGCACGTATGGTTATTCAGCCCCCGAATACTCTAGGAACGGGCAACTCACCTCCAAATCTGATGTCTATAGCTTTGGAGTCATTCTATTGGAGCTCATCACTGGGCGCAGAGCCATTGATACCACCAGACCAAATGACGAGCAAAACCTTGTTCAATGGGTAATCATTTGATAAAAGAATGTCTATACTAGTCATTTTAATTTGTGCATATTAAAATTCATCAGACCTAAAATCAATTAAGAGATACAAACAACCACACTTATGGATAACGACTATACTGCATCCCTTTAATAGGTTCTTAGCATAATTAAATTGGTGATGATGATGTCTTTCATTTACCATATATATTTGATGAAGCCATAAGGATTGATCACGTAATCAAATTCAATCAACCAAAATTTTGATATGTAGTGGAGAGAGAGGTAGAAGTGTAGTTGACTTCCATTGGAATGATTGATGAATTGTTTGCAGGCCCAACCGATATTCAGAGACCCGAAGCGTTTCCCAGACATGGCAGACCCACTATTGAGGAAGCAATTCCCAGAGAAAGATTTGAACCAAGCCGTTGCAATTGCAGCCATGTGTCTGCAAGAGGAGCCTGGAGCGCGCCCCCTAATGAGTGACGTGGTTATGACTCTAAGTTTCCTCTCCACAAATCCGTCTGATATCCCTCCGCCCTCCACTCCTCCTCCAGTGGAAGAGAAATCAAGCAGAGAAAGCTCTGACGATAGTGGAAGCGACTCTGAAGATGATGATGAGTACCACCACGCCGGTCAAAGATCAAAAAGGCATGGCAGACGAGATGGATCAGGAGAAGAAGACGATGAAGAAGAGGAAGAGGAATATGGGAGTTCAGAATTTAGTGACACCAGTGATTACGACGAGGAGGAAGGAGATAAACACGTCAGCTCTGCCGATGAAGGCGGCAATGGAGCCAGCAAGAGGAGTACGGGCAAGTCTTTGGATGCTTCGTGTCGGAAGAGCAGCAAGAGAGTTAAGGACAAAAGTGTCTCACTCCATGGCAGCAGCCGAAAAGGCAGCAAAAAAGTGAAAGGGAAGCACAAGGTGTCGTCGGCGAGTGGTCGGAAAAAAAATGTTGGCGACGATGATTCTCGATTGAGGCATCAGAGCAGCGGTAGCTCAAGCGACCGATGTAGTAGCAGAAGCAGCATGAGATCGCAAAGTGGAAGATAAACTAAGATTTGATTAATTAATTACTTTCAAAACAAACAGCCGAGCTCAAGTGGTCTCTTAACTTTCTCTTCCTGGCTGGCTGGAGAAATGAAGAATGGGGAAATGAGATTAAAATTGATTTTGCACAGATAAATATGTGATTAACTCTATATATGAAATTATATAAAAAATGGGGATCATTTTTTGCTTCTTTCGTTACTTTGTGATGCCATTTCGAGAGAGATTTTACAACGTAGATGTGGAGTTGTGAGAACGGCTAAAGAGGCAAAAGGGGAAAAACTGAAAATGATGATGGAGGAGAAAGAAGAAAAAAAGATTGTCTAGCAGGAAAGCTCAAACTGGAATGGAATGTATTCATATTAAGGTTTTTAGATTCAAGATAGCTTAATTTTCATCTCCATTTACTTTTCACAATTTATTTTATTCTTTTAGATGGTTTTGTATCGCAAGGTTCGAATACAAGTTTTGGTAGAGTTTTCATTCTCATATTATCACTAGGTCAACCTGTTTGGTTTCTTTTCTCGATAAAAGTCAAGTTCTTTGTAGTAAATTATTTTAGTCAGTGTGTACTTTTTTAATATATGAATTGATTAAGTACCTCCAACTTGTTAAATGGCGAGAACAAGGTCCAACTAAAAGCTTTCAAATGAGAGTGATCATATTTTTCAGAGAATCTATATTAACTTATTACTCTACTCATCTGGAGATTCTATTCTATGAGAACTCCTCAAATTAAAATTATTCTTGGTAGACACAAAGCTTCACGGAATGACTACAAAGATAATAAATAAATAAAAAAGAACTTGACAACGTCTTGTCAGTTATAATCTTGATGGTCGTTTGGAGAATATAATTTTAAATCTATAGATTGTCAACAATTTAAAGATTCTAACTCTTCGAATGGTTGAAAATAGATTTTAAAATATTTATTGTTTGGTAACTACGATTGTTAACATTCAATGAAAATAAAAATTTAATTTTATATTAAATAACATGTTTATCCTTAATAAATAATTAGAGTGGTTCGAGAAATATTAAAAAATTTGTTGATAAATATATTTAATATGATAAATAAATAAAAGAAATAAAGAGAAAAGTAGGAGAAAAAAATCTCGCGAATCATGATACAGAATCTCTCTGCTTATGAGAGATTTGATATCCGTAGATTTTAGAGATCTGAAATCTCTAAAACTAAAATCCACAATACAAAGAGCAACAAAAAAATATAACTTTCTAAAAAATTTACGGATTCAATTAATCCACGTCCTAAATCTCATTCACCAAACGACCCATTTGTTGTCCCTCTCTCCTATTATATCCAAGTGGTTTAGTAAGTGATGAACTAATTGGCGTAATGAGGTTTTTTAGTCTTAATACACTTGCATAGCCATAATTTTACAATTCATGACAATAATAGTCAAATTTTGAAAAATACACAAATATAGTCATTTCGTCAATAACTTTAACGGAATAATAATAAATGTTGGCTGTACTGACATTGTTTGCCGACATGGCAATTTTTTATAAACAACTATGCCTAGATAGATATTATCCTTTTTTAATTAATTTAAAATTTCTTAAAATACTCTCTTCCGCTGCTTATATGTTTCCTCTCCCTCGAAGCTCTCCACATCCACCTCTGTTTCGCCGGGACTTCAAGCTCTCCGCCCTCAATTGATCTGAGAAACCAGATCTATACCTTGAAAACTCTAGATCGTTTCATTTTTTACCATCAATAGCTTCATTGAAGCCCTGAAGACTTCTTCCCCTTCCTCTTCTTCCTCTTGCTGTTGTCAATCCTCCGGCCGCATCCACCAGTTCTGTCGCCACCAGAAGCAAGCAGCGAGGCAGAGCACCGACCTCACCTGCATCCCATCGGCAAAGAGCGAGTACTGCATCAACTCGTTAATTTTGGCCAGTCGCATATACCTTACATTTCTCTTCTCCTAATCGTCGCTTCTTCCCGTCCGAAGATTGATATTCTCTATTTGTGGCGAAGGACTCGACGCGTACAAACTAGGTTCTGGGATGACAAGGATCGGGACAGCGAGGACTGGGTTCCTTGAATCCGCCAAGATGACAAGAAAGACAAACCCATTTTATAGGGAGAGAGGAAGAAGTCGATTTTGTCTATGGCACCGGCGGTGGGAGGGAAGAGTGAAGGAGGGAATACGTCGAGCTTAGAGAGAATTGATTTTTCCAACTCACATGTGCCAAATTAAACAGCGGAGGAGGCATCAGATCTCACTGCCACTAGACTACAAGAAATTGAAATTGTCGGCTGAAAGAGATGGAGGGTTAGAGTTTTTGGATTTAGAGAATTATGGGTCTCCCTGCTCTTTCTCCACTTCTTCCTTCTCTCCTCCTTGGGATTTATGGATTACATAAAGATTTTGTGAAGGAGACAGAGGCTGGACGAGATGGAGGGTTTGAGTTTTTTATTTTAAATTGGGTTGCAGTAAAGCTTGGTGGGTTCTAGAATTTGGGGAAAGGGACGAAGGAATAGAGAGAGAAAGAGAAAACAAATGTAAAATAATTTATTTCTTTCTAAAAAAATTTATTTTGATTTTTTACTAAAATTAATTATGTTTTGTTAAAATTTTTACTTTAATATGATGTGCGTCTAGGTGGCATGAAGACGTTCAGTTGGCAATGACGTGTAGCCCAGGTCGCATTCACCTCAGCTACACATAGAGGTTACTGATGGTGTTCGTGATAGTGTTAAAGTTTGCAACGGAAATAGCTAAAGTTGTCAAGAAGTTTGAAAAAATTGGCTATATCTATGTATTTTCCAAAATGTGGCTATTATTATAACAACACGAATAGTTATAGATATGAAAGTGTATTTTGCCGATTTTTTATGCCCCTTTCTCAAATGCATCTGACATCGGTGGAATGACCAATGATTGTCTTTTTAATTGATTTAGTTCCAAGTTTGTGATGGTTGTGGACTTGCCTTAGCCTCAGTTCGTCTCCATCTCTATTGCGAGGCTAATGAGAGACATGGAATTAGTGTCGAGTGATGAAGTTTTCCTTGGCGTGTGACTTGGTCTCATAAATCAATTGGTACCAATAATTCAAATTGTTGGAAGAGGTTCACGTATGATAATTAATCACTTGCTTACACGCCCCCTCAAAAGAATGTAAACTTATGGACTTGAAGTTTGCATAGGCCGGCCATATCACGTGATTAAAGACAACAATTAATATTGGAGATCTTGATGACTTTTGCACGTGACCTAAAGCTGAGGGTGTTTCCCAATTCCACGTTGCCTCCTTTGTAAGGTGGGTCTCATTTTACCTCTCTTATGTCAGTTCCTTAACCACAACGGACTTATGCCCTGAAGAATGTTAGTTTAAACTATTTTTGTACCCACTCTTAATTACATTCAACTTTATTTGTATGAAACACTGGTTATTTTAGTACCAATTTACTTGGTATTCAGATTTGCCATGTATTTGATCTCCCTTGTACCATTTTGATCCATTTGATATATTTTTGGAGTATTTTTATGATTTTCTGGTTAGGGCGTTGAATAGGGTGAGTACACAAGTACATGGAACCATAATTGGAGGCCATATGAGGAAGAACCATCCATTTTTGCATATTGCCAAGACCAGCAGACCAAATTTGGAGGCCACTACCAATATACAATTACCAATATACTATACAACCCATAAGACATAGTCTCTTAGCATACCCACCATCTTCAATCAACCCACACTATATCCCTAGGTCAGTGCTCTAATCTGCTATAGTGATAGGCTCAAATCTAAGTTGGTTGGTACCAAGACTACCATGATCGTATTCTCGCAAGGCCTTTCAAATTTCACTAATTTGAAGTGAAATCAATGCTTTTATAGAAAACGATTTGAAGTTGACGTACCTTGAGTTTCTAAAACCAGTCAAAATTAAAAAAAATCCACGAAGAGTCAAAGGCTAAACATGAGCATAATATAAAATCAAAGGAAATAGGAATGATGCTAACATAAATTAAAGGCATTGTATAGGTGTTGTTTACACTAGAGATTCCAATTTGGCATGCAACCTAAACTTAAAATAGGCAAGTGATGATGTTTACACATATTTGTCCACCCACTTGATCCAATGTTTTACCCTACTTTGGTGGATTTGATGTGGTATTCATGCAAATGATAAAAATCCTAGGATGCTCTAGGGTCGTATTTCACAAGGTCTTCCAAAGCATAATGACTCGTCCCGAATACCACAATAAAAATCCCAATTAAGGCCAACCATAAACCTTAACCGGGTGCAATATAGGGTAAGTATGTTTAAATGTCAACCCGGGTCGGACCATATACCCCTACTTCGATTGTTTGAAACATTATCTACCAATTGGTTTTTGGAGAAAACAACGATCTATAACTAAAATATTTGGAAAAGTAAATGGATTGGACACTAATTAAGAAGGCTTCGGCCGGGTGTTGCTCCCCCTAGCTAACAATAATGACTTGTCGGATCGAATGCATAGGTGTGGTAAAGGCGGTTGTAAAACATTGAGAAGTGCAACTAGTGAACAAACGTCACTCACTCAGTCAATAAGCTAAGGGATACCGATTCAAGCTACCAAAGTAGCTCTCTTGGCCTATCAACCAAGGGTTGCCTAGACTTCACCCTTGAATCAACCCTAGGTGCTAATACGAATTAAGAGGTTTGCCCTAATTTAACCTAAGTAGGAGACAAAAAAATTCCCAAGGAAATCCAGCTTTTACATTCCTCTACTCAAAGGAGATTCCCCTCTACCTAGGTTAAAATAGCATAAGACATTGAAATGCACAAACACAATCAATCTTCATAAAAATACCTCAAAACTTTGTATTAAAACATACCCACACACTAATCATTCAATCCATACAAACATTCACATCATTGTAGCTAGGGTTTACACACACCCAAGTGACAAGAGAAACTACTCCATGCTAGGTAAGGAGAAAACACAAGGGAGAAGAAGGAAAACTATCTTGGATATGCTAGCCTTGCTCCTTGTGGTGTAAAGATCCTCTTTTGGAGAAGAAATTCCCAAAACCTTTCTTGGAGATGAAACCCTAACCTCTTCTCTTCTTTGGCTAGTCAGTTTCACTCTCTAGAAAGCTGAAGAAGAAGAAGTTTCTCACCCTAGGTTCCCCCACCCTCCTTTTTCTCCCTTCATCTCAGCCCTCCTTTTATACCCAGGTCAAATTCAGTTCACGGTCTCAGTTCACGGTCGTGAACATCCTTCCTGGACCGTGATATCGAGCAAATCCGCACAGTTTCACTTAGTCTGTTCACGGTCTTAGCGACCGTGAACTGACTAGGATCCAGTGAGATGCTCAAACCTATGTGGACTCTTAGAGCCATTTGTTCTGGAAATTCAACACTTCACAGTCCGGGCGCCCTTTTCACGGTCCATAAGACCGTGAAAACTCAGCTTTCGCCGTGATCCTCAGCTGCTTCCACCCTTTGACTCGTTTTCGCTCCTTTTCGTTCCAATTCAGATT